TTGTTGAAGCCCTTGGGAGACCTTACCCTATCTGAATGAACACAGAGGAGACGAGGATGGAGGTAGGATGGGAAATGAGGGAAGGGAATGGGAGGAGAGGAGGGAGGGCAAACTGTGGTCCGTATGTAAAATAAATGAAAAAAAGTTATGTCGTGGCCCAGCATGCTTCAGCCTCAGTCCATGAGGTTCTACCTGAGTGGGGGGTGTGGACCTGGAAGCTCCGAGCAACCCAACAGCGGCATCTTGTCATCTTCAGAGAGCTCTCAGTTCCATGTTGTGGAAGTAGAGTCATTTCTTTATTAGCCATCTTTTCTGGTGTTTCTTAACCATCCTGCTAATACTACGAGGCAGCCATTTCTCTCTTTGTTCTCCTCTCTGCTCTGGCCGCTTGCCTCTTCACTCCCAACCTTCTGTCCTCCCAAGTTGCTCATACCTCCTGCTCCTCCGCCCAGGTGAGGGCCTATTCAGATGCTTAGGCACATACAGATACAAATAAGAGGCATATTACCCTGAGGCTATGGTAAACAGTAACAGCCTAGTGTTAATTAACAATACAATGGTGATCCTGCGCTTCCTGGCGCCAATGGCAGCCAGAGACTGGGACCTAAAATATTCCATAACAGAGATATTCGGTCCCCCACAAGGTTAATAATAAAAAAGTGTTAAGGCCGGGCAGTGGTGGCACATGCCTTTAATCCCAGCACTTGGGAGCCAAAGGCAGTGGGATCTCAGTGAGTTTGAGGCCAGCCTGTTCTACAAAGGGAGTTCCAGGACAGCCAGGACTGTTACACAGAGAACAGAGAACCCTGTCCCAAAAAACCAACAAATAAATATGTTTAAAGAAAAGAGTTTCCCACTGAGTCGGGCAGAGACAGTGATGCAGCTTGCTGGCTCCCAATCTAGACCCCAAAATGTGAGTTCTAGGTTCAAAGAGAGTAAGTCTGAGAGTGATAAAGGACATGTAGGCTCTTTTCTGCCCTCCATACTTACCTAGGCAAGTGTGTGTGCCTACAACACATTCCTAAAACAAATCCATGTAAGACTCAAGTTCTTTCTGACACCCCAACATTCCCCTCACTATTCTCTGCTGTTTTAACCCCAATACTAAGAAAATTGGAAAATTGGAAAGAAAATTGGGGCTGGGGAGGTGGCACCACCTAAAGTGCTTGCCCACTAAACCTGGAACCTGACGCTGATCTTCAGAGCCCATGTAATAAGCTGGATGGTGGTTCACACTTAGAACCCCACTGCTGGAGAGACAGATATGGAACAAACTTTGAAGTTTACTGTCAGTCCAGACCAATCAGTGATACCTGGGTCCTAGGGACAGAGTCAGACTCAAAAATCAAGGTGGTCCTGATTTTGGATGGCTCAAGGGATAAAGGTACTTGCTGCAAAGCCTGACAACCTGAGTTCTATCCCCAGGACCCACATGGCAAAAGGAGAGAACCAGTTCCCACAAGTTGTTCTAGAAACCCCACACTCAACCCGTGTCATGCACACACACACACACACACACATACACACACAGAGAGAGAGAGAGAGAGAGAGAGAGAGAGAGAGAGAGATTAATTTAAGAAAAATTATAAGCAAAAGACAATGTGTTCACACGCAGCAGAGTACCAAATATCCTAGGAGGAACACAACAGCGTATTAGCCCTCTAGTGGTTATACTGTTGGAATGGCACTTGAGTGTGATTTCCCAGAAGCTGTGGAGACTGACAGGCCAGCTCCTGTCAGTCACTGGTCAGTGCTGAGCCAGGAAGGGTTTATTCTCCCAACAAGTCTGTTTCCCTGACAGCGGGGCCACACCACTTATTAAATATTTCCCTTTATTTTTTGAGAATTTCATACATGCACACAATGAAATCTGCGCCTACCCCATCCCCCTCCACTCCTCCCATATTCCCGTAACACCTCCCCTTCCCAGCTTCATGTCATTTTTTTTTTTAAATAACCCACCAAATGCAGTTAGCGCTGCCCATATGTGCATGGGAACATAGATATCCATTAGATCATGGGAAATCTGCCAGTGGCCACAACCTCAAAAAAGAACGATTGTCTCTCCCCAGCATCTATCCACTGCCATGGCTCCTCAGTGAGGGGCGGAGTCTGGAGACCATCATCACGGTGTCTGCTGGGGTTTTGATTGGCTTGATCATGTGAGGGTAACAACATAATCATGACGACCATGTCCTGTCCGGAAGACAGCATTTCACAGCTCTTCTCTCCACACTCCAGCCGGTTCTCACCTCTTCTGAGATGTGCCCTGAGACTTGGGGGTGAGAGACTTAATGCAGACGTCCTACTTGGGTCGAGTGCTCATTCTCAGCCTAGCACTTGGACCAACTCTCCATTGATGGCTCCATGCAGAAAGTAGGTTTCTCTATCCAAGGCTGAGAGAGCCAGACAGTCAGCTGAGCAGACGACCACAGCAAGTTACTGGGGCTGCAAGGATGGAGTATCCATGAGCATGAGGACACGGGCATCATTGTAGATCTGGTCACAAGTGCTAACAGAACCGGAATGGAGGAGACGGAAAGCCCTTGTCTTTTGGAGCTTGCATCTTGATTACAGGAGGCAAAGAAGGAAACCTACAGCTGCTGAGCACCAAAATGCAAAGACAAAAACGGGTTTTGGTGACTGGGGCTGGGGCTCAGCTGATAGAATGCTCGCCTAGCATGGAGAAAGCTGGGGTTCCATCCCCAGCACTTCACAAACAGGGCTTGGTAAATGAAGCACACTTGTCATCCCAGCTCTTGGGAGGCAGAGACAGAGATCAGGGCTTCAAGGTCATCCTAGGGTATAAAATAAGACTGGGCTAACCTGGGATATATGAGACCCTGTTTTTAAAAAATGAAATAAAGGTGGCAAGAGACAGGCTTGTGATGCCCCACTGAGGCTTTCCTATAGAGGGGCCCTGTTTGTTGAGCACTTACTATGTGCCAGGCACAACTCCAAGTCCCTTATGCTCACTCCTCGTGGTTGTGCTGTCTGTTATTTGGTGAGGAAACAGAAGAACAGAGAGAGGTGCTAACCTGCCCCTACACAGCTGAGCTTACACTAGCACCCAGCATTCTCCGGGTCCCCAGCTCTTCAGAGGTGATGTTTTTCTTTCCAAAGGTCTAGCTTTAAATCTCAGGAGTCAAATGGAATGGCTCTGACCCCCTCTCCATCCTACCCCACCAGGCTCCCTGGTGTTATGTAATAGACACAAGACAAAGGTTCCTGGAGCTAAGAGGGGAAGGAGGGGCACACCTCCTGACACTTCCTACAGCCCTGGGCACACAGTGAGGGCTAAGCCTGTCTCTCTTGGCCAGCACCTAGCATCAGGGGAACCATGGAGGTCTCTGAAGGCAGAAGGAATTACAGATAGAACTGACACAGGGGAACGGTAGCAAGAATTGGAAGGGAGCTAGGAACCCTGCCAGGCTGCCAGCTCTCCTCCGCACTCTGGACCAGCCTTTTGTAAGCTCTTCTCTCTAAGGCAGAGGGGCTTGGGCATGCCCTTTCCTTGGTTACATTTCTCTGAAGAAGCCTTGCTTGAGTGGAGGAGGCGAGTCACTGAGTCAGAGACTTTGAGGTTTTAAAAGCCCGGGGCCATTCCTGTTAGCTCTCTCCACCTCATGCTTGTGGATGAGACATGAGGTGGAACCACCGCTCCAGCGCTGGACTCATCCTCTGGAGCTGTAAGCACCCAATAAACTCTGTAAAAGGTTCAGGCATTATGCTGGCCTGCCCCTGTTACCTGGTGGAATCCAATCAGGCAGAACCCTGGTCAGCCCAGGGTTCCATGGGAACTAAATCTGCACTCAGGTGCAGAGGACTCCTTTAAAAGACAGATCCCTGTCCATTTATGCTCTCTCTACTCTCTCTCTACACTCTCTACTTTTCTCTGTTTGCTTCTGCTTCTCTTCTCTCTCTCTCTATGGCGACCAACCATGGCGGTCAGCCATTTACCCTGTTTCTCTTCTCTCTTAGTCTCCCTACTCTGCCGGGTCTATAATAAACTAGTTAATATGTCTAATATGTCTCATCCACCTCTTTTCTTCTTTATTCCTAATTTAAACAAAAGAATAACACTCTGTCTTCTATAGTATAGTGTAGAATTACAGAATCTACACAATCGCTTCTCATTGTATCTCTCCACAGCAATAGAAAAGTAACAGAGATAGAGAAGGTTAATTCTGGTTCTCACTGTTCAAGGTCACAGTCCAGCTTGGTGGGAACGGTCTGGTGGCAGAAGCATGAGGTGGCTGGCTCACTTTCTCCTTTTTTGGGAGTTCAAATTTTATTTATTTGCTGGGTGCTGGTGACACACGTCTTTAATCCCACCACTTGGAAGGCAGAGGCAGACAGAGCTATGAGTTCAAGGTCAGCCTGATCTACAGAGCCAGTTTGAGGACAGCCAGGGCTACACAGAAAAACCCTGTCTTGAAAAATCGAAAAACAAAACAAAAAACATTATTTTATTTAAAGTGCGTGGTTATTATATTTGCACCTTACGCGTGCCAAGTGCCTGGGGAGGCCAGAAGAGGCCATGGGATCCACTGGAACTGGAGTTGCAGACATTTGTGAGCCGCCATGTGGATGGTGGAAGCCGAACCCCGAGTCCTTTAAGCACAGCCCGTGTCTTTAACCGGTTAACCATAGTCAAAGCCTGGCTTTTCCTTTTCTTTCAACCCAGAGCCCAAACTTGGTAATGGCGCCACCTACAGTTACGGATCCATTCCCCCTCAATTGATGTAACCCAGGTAATCCCTCACACGTGTGCCCAGAGCCTTGCCTTCCGCGTAACAATCAATATGAATCTTCCTGCCCCATGAAACCGACCGTCCCTCTACTGCTCAAACACCTTTGGCTGCCGGTGGCTCATAGGGGGCGCGCCTCCTGGACTCGGAGAGGCTCTCTGCTGATGCTTAGTGAGGCTCAGACTCTGGTGACAAAGATTTTTATTGCTGGGAGTGCTCAGGTCGGGGGTTCGCAGGCCAGGTGTGGGGTCACTGCGAGCTCAGCGGCTCCACCCGCAGCCACAGCCCGCCCTCTGCGCGCAGGATCAGCTCCGGCTGCCGGCGGGGCTCCTTGTCGTCCGGCAGGACACGGAAGCGCAGCAGCGTCAGCGCCAGCACCACCTTCATCTCGCTTAAGGCGAAAGTCTGTCCGATGCAGTTCCTACGGGGGAGTGGAGTGGGGACTCTGTGTCCTAAACCCCACCCGGGACCAACACAGCACTAGAACTTGGCCCCAGGCCAAGGTATCTGGGACGACGCGTGGGCGTTGCCATCCTCGGAGCCTGGTCCAGAGCAGCAACCAAGGAGGGACTCTGGGCATGGAGATGGGCTCTTCCCCTTTCCCTCCCCGGTTCCCCAAACCTTTTCTGTGTAAAGAAGCAGGAGGGAGATGCTAGCGCCACCCCCATCCCAAACATCCCAACGCCCCCTGCCCTGTCAGCCTCAGACCCCGCCCTCTCACTTCTGGCCTCACCTAGGTCCTGCGGAGAAGGGAAGGAAAGCCAGGGGTGACCTGCCCTTGGCGTTGTCTGCGTCAAATCTGAAGGGGTTATAGACCTGAAGGAGATACAAAGACATGTGGGTGAGTGCCATCTTCCAGCACAGCCAGGAGCAGAGTCCTCCGTGGGCGGTGGAAGTTAAGAATTGATCTCTCAGGGGACTAGAGAGATGGCTCACAGGTTAAGAGCACTGGCTGTTCTTCCATAGGTCCTCAGTCCAGTCCCCAGCAACCACATGGTGGCTCACAAGCATCCGTTATGAGATCTGGTGCCTTCTTCTGGCTTATATGCAGACAAAACACTGTATACATAATAAATAAATAAATCTCTAAAAAAATTGATATCTCTGCCTCCTGGATATCTCGCCTGGAGTTCAGGGTGCGGCTAGGCACACCCTGAATTCCATTCCCAGCACCAGCATAAAACCAAATTGGTGCAAACCAGTCATCTCAGCACCCCAGAGCTGGAGGCAGGAGGATCAACGGTTCAGGCTCAATCTTGCTGTATAGTGGTACCCTTGCTAGCCTGAGATACCGGAGACCCTGCTTCATAAAGCATGTGATTGGGGTTGAGGAAGTAGCTGAGTTGGTAGAGGTCTAGCCTCGCAGGCACAAAGCCCTGGATCTCATCTCCAGGACCACATAAGCCAGGCACAGTGCTGTCATCCCAACACACGGGAAGTGGAAGCCCCGGGGATCAGAAGTTTACAGTTATCCTTGACTACAGCCTGAGGTCAAGGGCAACGCACGCGTGCATGCACGAGTGGGCTTACACACACACACACACACACACACACACACACACACACACACACACACACGCCTTCTCCTCAAGAACCCCAGCCACAACGTAGGAAAATTAAGGGACAGCACCTCTGGGTCAGGCCACACAGCTGGATTGTGATGGGTCCCAAAAATACTTATTCGGCAGATGACACCTGTGGGGGAAGTGAAGAGGTCAAGACAAACTGTCTGCCGGACCCTCCCTCTCCTCTCTGATGCCATGGGTACCTTTGGGGATGACCCGGCCATCTGGGAGCACAATGTCCTGGGTGCAGCAGCGGGAGATAGCGGTGACCGGTGGATGCAGTCGCAGACTCTCCTTGATGCACATGGTGAGGAAGGGCAGCTGGGCCAGGTCATCCCTGAGAAACCCAATCAATAATTAACCAGAGCAAATGAGAGCACTCCGGCTCCTTTGTGACCCAGTGAGAGCTTTCTCCCTATAATAAAATAATACTGAGATGAAGTACTTGACCATTGTAAAAGCACAGACTGACTGATGGCTCAGTCAGTAAAGGCACTTGCCGACAAGTCTGAAGACTTGAGTTCAACCCCCAACAGTGACACTAGAAAACCAAAACAAAATTCCAACAGCGGGAAGGCTGGGGCAAGAAGATTATGAGTTCCAGACCAGCTTATGGCACACAGTGACACTCTATCTCAAAATATATTATTAATTAACAGTTGGTTAGCTTACTGATTAATTAGCTTAATTGTGTGTTTATTAGCAACCAACTTTTTTAGCAATTAACTTTTAATTAAACAAAATGCTTGTAAATCATAGAATTAGGAAATAGAATTAGAATCACACACACACACATACAGAGAGCGAGAGAGAGAGAGAGAGAGAGAGAGAGAGAATTTTAAAAGTAAATTTTAAGTTAACAAATCTGCAAAAAAAGCTGTCTTTGGAATATAGAGGAAAACCAAACTATGAAACAGCAGAAAGTAAAATAAATATATCTAATGCTTTTGCTCTTCTTCATCACTGTACTGGAGACACTAGCAAATGTAATTAGCCAAGAAAAAAAAAAAAAAGGAAAGAATGTAACTTGCTATAGAAGGGTAAAGGTGTCAATTTAGCAGAGAGAGGTGCTCAGGAGGTTTGTTTTGGTTTTTGTTTGTTTGGGGTTTAGTTTAGGTTTTGTGGGAATTAGGATCCATCCCCTGGCCTTGCACCATATTCTCCCACCAAGCCCCATTCAGCACCCCAGACAGTGATTTTATGCTTAGAAAACACAGCAGAACCCACTGGAAAACTTTAACAAGGAATGCAGAGCCAACAACATGATGAAATCTTGGTGTGGGCAGCTAACTGGTTCAAAATCTGAACTCTGGGACACATCACTCACTCCTTTAGCCCAGTGCCATGCCACCATGCCTGTTCTCTTCCTGCAGGATTGAGAGCTTTTTGTTTGTTTATTTACTTAACACTCCGATAATGCCTTTTTGTTTGTTTTGGTTTTTTTTTTTAAGGGTTTTAAAGTGTGTGTGTGTGTGTGTGTGTGTGTGTGTTTGCATGCAGGTGCCCAAGGAGGCTGGTGGCATTAGATCCTCTGCAGCTAGAGTGACCCAAAATTGTGAGCAGCCCAGCATGGGTCCTGGGAACTGAGCTGGAGGCCTCTGCATTTCTCCAGCCCTGTTTTGTGTTTTGAGGTAGACAGGGTCTTGTCATGCTGCCCAAACTTATCTCCAGCTCCTGACTTAAGGGATCTTCTTGCCTCAGCTTCCCAAATAGGTGGGACTAAACATGTGCCCACCACACACAGCTCACCTGATGTTTCAAAGGAATTCCAATAAACAAAGCTAAAATTTTTATGGAAGATTAGAGGAGTGTACAATTAGGTCAATTTGACAGGAGAGGACCTTGGAAGAATCCTACAAGGACCTTTACGATACAGAACTGATGTGCCTCTCCTTTGCTCAAACTTTCTCTGAGCCCCATAAATGCCCTTGAGTTAAATTCAAAGACACTAACATTGCTTTCCCAGTCTATGCTGCTGACCTCAGTTGCTGCCAGCTTGATTAATCTTAGCCTCACCACACACACACACACACACACACACACACACACACACACACACACACACACCACGCACACACCTTCCTGTCTCCCCTCCCTCATGTCCTTTCTGCCTCCTTTACCTCTGTCTTTCAAAGCCTCTCTCCCCCCATCTAAATGCAGACTTCCTCTTCTCTCTTTTCCTCTCCCATCTTGTCTTTTCTCTGGAGAAAAGAGCCAAGTGAGGGGCTCAGAAACACACCAGGACCTGCACTCACCATCCAATCTCCTCAGGGTCACGGTCCCTCAGCAGCTCCCGAACCTCCTGCCGGCAGCGCTCCTGGTATTCCGGGTACCTTGCCAGGTTGTACAGGACCCAGGAGAGCCCACTAGCCGTGGTGTCATGGCCTAAAGGGCAGATTGGCAGCCTGGAGTCTCTGCTGCTTCAGCATCACCAAGTGGACACCACACAGGTGGCTAAGTCCCCAGGAAGTGTAATTGCCAGGAAGGACAGGGAAGGGGAAAGAGGAATCCAGGGTCCACCTACCATGCCGCCAGGGTGCCCAGACAGACCCCCCACACACACACTCTGTAGCAGTTTATGGACACTCACCTCCAAACATGAAGGTGTCAGCCTCCGCTCGGATGTCCTCATCAGACAGTGCCTTTCCATGTTCGTCCTGAAGACAAGGAAAGACAACAAATGGCACCAGTTCTACACACTCTTGTATCTAACCTGAACAGTCTCTGAAGATCCCTGGTCCATCTGGACACCCAACCAACCATACCCCTGCACCTATGTTAATCACCCTCACCAGAGTCCCTACACCAGTGATGTCATCCCTGACTGCTGACCTCGGTCCTAACCCTGGAGGGACCAGCAACACATCACTGTTCTTTATCCCTGTACTACAAGTGTCTGGAAAAGGAGTTGAATGTGATTGCCTTTGAAGTCAGAAGCAGAACAGCATTCCAAAGAGTGTGCTCCTGTGTGTATCTAGGAAAAGGCCAACGAAAGGCTCTGTGCAGAAAGGTTCTTACCACAAGCCTGATGACTTGAGTTTAATCCCAGGATCCACACAAAAGGAGAAAATCTAGTCCCTAACGTTGTCCTCCAGCCACTATGTGTACTGTGGCTCAGGCACCCACACACATAGATACACACAATAAACAAACAAATAAGTAGTGTGATTTTAAAATGCTATTAAAACAGAAACCCAAGAATCTTATCTCCCTTCCTTCTTCCTCACTCCTGCCACCACCCTCACTCCCTTCCTGTTGGCAGGAAAGAAGATGTGACAGCTGTCCTACATAAGCCTTATAGCTGTCAAACTGCTGCTTGAAAATAATAGCTGTGGCCAACCCAGGGCTGGGAAAATGGTTCAGTCAGTAAAGCACTTGTCACTTAAATAGGAGAACCTGAGTTCAGATTTCCAGTGCCCACATAAAAGCCAGGCAGGTGGCATCTGCCTATGATCCTAGCACGCAGTTGAGATAAGTGGATTCCCAGAGCTCTTTAAGTTGCCAGTGCAGCTGATCTGTGAGCTCCAGGTTTGGAGAGATGGCTCAGCAGGTAAAGACACTTGTCAGCAAGTGTGAAGACAGGAGTTTGATGCCAGGGATGCCACATAGTGGAAGGAGACAACCAACTACTACAAGTTGTTCTGTGACCTGTGAGCACACACACACACACACACCACCACCACCAATCGACCAATCAATCAATAAAATGTAATCAAAAAGCAAGGTGGAGGGCTGGAGAGATGGCTCAGTGGTTAAGAGCACTTGCTGCTCTTACAGAAGACTAAAATTCAATTTCCAGTATCTACATGGTGGCTCACAACTGTAACTCCAGTTCCAGGAGATCTGAAGCCCTCTTCTCACTTCCATGAGCACAGGCTCATATGGAGTGCACATACATACGTGCAGACAAAGTATTCATACATGTAAAATATAATAAATAAACCTAAATCCATAAAAAAGCAAGATGGAGAGTGATCAAGGAAGACACTCAGTGGCAACCTCTGTTCTTTGCAAGAGCAAAGGTGCCTAAAGCTTCAGCTATGGAAGTCCCTGTGTCATCATCTCTACAGCCACCGATACATGCTGTGTCCCTTCCTTGGCTCCTTCCTCAAGCACCTTCTGTGGCTGCCCAGTGCCCTCTACATCAAGACCTATCTCTTTTCTTTCCCTCAACTCTTTTTATACTGGGTCTCATGTAACTCAGACTGACATTAAACTCACTTGCAGCCAAGGACAATCTTGAACCTCTGACTCACCTGTCACACATGAATGCTGGTATGACAGGCAGGAACACTATGTCCTGTTTACAAAGTGCTGGCATAGAATCTAGGGCCTTGTGCATGGTAGGCAAGCACTATACCAGCTGAGGCCTATGCCCAGCCCCAGAGGAGGGGGGAAGTCAGCTCTTACTGCCCCCTACTATGTGCAAAACTGTCCCTGGCTGTGCTGGCAAATGCTATTCACCCACCATGGCTGGGTCTCTCTTGAAGGTCCATGACCCTTTCTACTTTGATATGATAATAGCAAAGGCAGGTTACCCTGGATTGTATTCTCTTCTCAGCCAGGACCAGGGGCCAGGAGTGATGGGTAAGGTCGGAGCCTGACAAGTAAGGATGGGGAGAGTTGGCATGGCTGATGTTCAGGGTCTCCTTCCTGCCCTCTGTCTAGGTTACACGCAAAGATTGCAACCTGTAGTTGGGAAGTCAAGAACAGCCTCTCTGTGCTCAGAGCCCCTCTCTGAGTTGGCTCAAAGGATGTAGATACCCATGCAGGGTTCCAGACACCTTAGTTCGCCTGGTTCCAGTGATGAGTGGAGCCTGCCTAGGGTCCAGGACACAGTAAAGGCAGAGCATGCTCAGCTTATCATGTCACATTATCATCCCAGCCCCAGCCCTCCACTCCCCATGAGGAACCCACCTTGCTCAGCAGCAGCACATCAATGAAGTCCAAAGTCTTGGCCTTGGCCTTGGCCTTGAGGACATCATCATCACCCTGATCAGGGAGGGTGCAGCGCCGCTCCTGGATGATGGCGTCGGTGAAGTCATGCACTAGGCGGCAGGCCTTCCGGAAGCGCGTCCCATCCCGGGTGAGATGATAGAACAGGCCCACGTGCAGATGCAGCTTCTGGTGCCTTCTGGCCACTAAGGCACTAAGTTCCAAGATGGCAGCGATGTACTCGCTAGGCTTCCTGGAGAGTGTAGGCATAAAGGAGGTGATGCTGTAACATCTGTGGACACTAAGAAGCACCTCAGCAGCCATGAGCTGCTGCCCATGTGGGTAGAGAAACTAAAAGCACAAGTTTACTCTTGATGCCATCTTGGACTTTGCCCAGTAGCCATGGCAACTAGAGCAGATCAGTAAAGTGGTACCCAGGTCTGTGGTGATAGTAACAGACCTATTAGTGCCCCCTAGTAGATGGAGGAAAAGTGCATCAGGAGACTCTCACCTTCAACTCCAACTATTTCTCTCTATCCCCTATCACCTTCCAGAAGTGATCTTGAAAGTGGGACTCCATATACATCCATGAGGTCACCATCCATGATGGGGTGGGTCTCAGTGGTGGTGCATCTATTTGGGGGTTCCCCACGCTCCTGAAAGTAACCCCTCCACTGTGCTTTGTAAGTAAGTAAACCTGTGTAAAGGAGTTTCTAGAAGGAATTGCAGTTGTCCTTGAACCTTCTGCAAGGCTGCTTCGATGATTAGAATTTCAGTAACTGTGGAGAGTTGGAGTGCTTCAGGAACAGAGTCTAATTACAACTTATCTTGGACTGCCTTTAGCACCCATAACAGTCACCATTCCTAGCCCATCTCTGTGTCTGACCTAGCGTCCTTGTGACTAACAAGTAAAACCTTTTCAACTGTAGTAACTTAACAAAACCGCAGTTTCCACCAACCACAAAGGGCCAAGCGCATCATCCAATGGTTTTGAGCCCCACAGCAGACATTCCCACTTTGCGCTAACCTGTCTACCTGATGCCTCCATGCATTTTTAAAGTGCCTTGATTTATGACTTTGTTTTTTGATATTTTGGGGTTTATTTTATTCTGTGTATGAGTGTTTTGCCTGCATGTATGCATGTGTACCATGTGCACACCTGGTGTCCACAGAGGTCAAAATAGGGCATTGGATCCCCCAGAACTGAAGCTGGGTCCTGCACAAGGCCAAGCAAGTGCTCTTAACCACTGAGCCGATTCTCCACCCCCCTGCCCCAATTTATGACTTTCTCTGTTTTGTTATCATAAAAACTTCATCAAACTCTGACCATGTTGAAACATGGAGTTTGGGGAAACCTGAGTTCATTTCCAGGCCATGGTTGCTCATATTTGGCTCCAGAATAAACAATTTCTTCTCCTCTTCAGGTGAGAGCTGTGTTTCTTTTTTCCTCAACACTCATGGGTCTCACAGAGGTGGACTTTGGTTTGTCCAGAGTGCCCATCTTAGGGAAATCTCCCAGGGGAAAAGTCAGTTTATCCACCACAGAGAAAGGCCCTGAGACTCGCCTCCATCTCCTGTTCTTCATTGAGTCCGTGTGAGCTGGCCCCATGCCCTAGAGCACAGAGTGGACCCCAGGTTCCTTCCTTCCCTTTCTCCTCCACCCAGGCCCCTCCCCCTCCTCTTCCCAGTTCATCTTCTTTCCACTTCTATGTCCATAACTATCAATTGTTATTACTGAAGACTCAATGAGTTTAATTGGGATTATTTGCAGGCCTGTGGACACCTTACCAAGGAGTTACACCACTGAAGAAAATGTCTCTCATTTCCATTTCCTGCCTTACTGTACAGTAATTTCCTCTGAGTTGACACATTCCATCCTGGAGCAAGATTCATTAAGACTCAGGAAGTAAACAACTCTCTAGTCTCAGAAAATACCCCAAACTCACCAGGTACACAAGGCCTCTCCTTCCCCAAAGTTACTTAAGTAGTAAGGACTGCTGGAGAGAGGAGACACTCTGACCTGTAGAGCTACAGAGAGCTCCAGGCTTCCAGATTTGTGAGCTGTCACCCATGCTGGTGTGGGCTTTGGTGATGCAGCTGTCTTTGAGTCATTTCTGCTTCTGTAAGTGACCCCAATAGAACTCATTGGTTCACTGATGGAGGATGTGTTTCTGTATATATGTTTCTCATATTGTTTGATGAATAACACTGGCCAATAGCCAATAGAGGCAGGAAGATAGGCAGGACTAGAAGACTAGGAGAATTCTGGGAAAAGTAGGCAGAGAGAGACTTAGGGATGCCTTGTAGAGACCGGGATGACAGGATGCGCCAGATGTTCCCCAGTAATCCAAGACCACATGAAAATACATAGATTTATAGATATGGGTTAATAAGTAAGACAGAGCTAGCCAATAAGAAGTCCTAGCCACCGGCCAACAGTTTTATAAGTAATATAGCACCTGTGTGATTATTTGGGGCTGAGAAGGGCAGCAGGACCTACAGTTCACCAAGTTGGACTTTGGTGGTGTCTGTCACAGGTCTCTAGCCGGGGTGAGTAGATGTTTGTCCACATCTCCTCAGGAATCGTAACACACAACATGCCTTCAGAGCCCCAGGGACTGTAGCCCCAGGTGGGGACTGATTAACCCGCTGTCATTGCCGTCTCTCTTTACTTTGAAAAGCCTCTTCTCCACGCTCATCACAGGGGCCAGCTGATACTGGCTGAAGCCTCTAAAACCCTGGGCTCAAACAAACTTTTCTTCTCTTGATGTTGATTGTCTCAGATACTTTGTTACAGTAGGAGAAATCTGACCAGTGCAAACTCAAACACCTTCAGTGGCTTCCTTGAACTCTCATAATGAAGTTCACATCCCTTGACCTAGCTTTTCTGGGTCCTTAGAACTGAGCCACCATCTCCCCTGACACACTAATCTCCACCCTCACTGCTGGATGCAGACCTGCATCTCCATGCCATCTTTGGAATAACTGCACCTCCTGGAAGGACCACTCACTGTCTCCCATCCCAGGTCCTTTTTTTTTTCCCCTTTGAGACAGGGTTTTTCTGTGTAGCTTTGAAGCCTATCCTGGCACTCGCTCTGTGGACCTGGTTGGCCTCGAACTCTCACATATCTACCTGCCTCTGCCTCTTAAGTGCTGGGATTAAAGGCGTGCGCCACCAAGCCCCAGCACATCCTAAGTCCTTTAACGCTAGTTTTGAGCTACCTCCTCCAGGAAGCCATTCTGCTCCCTCTGGCCAGTCCACCCTCCCTTGTGCCTATGGGCCATGTTCCCAGGCCAGGACAGGGACTCACTCTTGGCAATTGCTGTTGAAGCTGAAGACACACTTCTGCAGACTGTCCAGGGTCATGAGGCTGATGTGCTCAAACATGTCCAGACGGGCACTTCCCTTGGAGGCTAGGCGCTGCCACTTGGCCTGGCCAGAGATGGGGACAGGAATGGGCTGGGCCCATTTGAGCCTCTTCCCAACCCCAGCCACCAAAAAGGAACCCCCCCCCCGACACAGCCTCTGATTTGATCTGATTTGCTGTTCACCAAACCAAGATGGAACCTGAACCCCACCATGCTTAGATCACTTCTTTACCTGAGTGGACTTGAACAAGCTCCCTGATATGTCAGACCTTCAAGGGCTGCCCTTACTGGGTAGCAGCACCCTCTACTTCACAAGCTTGTGAAAGTAAGCAAACAAGATAAGAGACCACATTTGACAAGGCCAGTCAATGTTAGCTTTCTTGATCTTCATTGTTACAAATTTATTCAGAGATATCCCTGGGCTCTGGTGAGATGGCTCAGTCATAAAAGTGCTTGCCACCCACACATGAGGAGTTTAATTCCCAGAACTCATGTTTTAAAAAAAGTGGTCATGGTGGCATGTACCTGTAATCTTAACCCCAGAGAGATGGAGACAAGAGGGTCCCTAGGGCTCAACTGATAGCCAGCTTGGCCTAATTGGTGAGCTCCAGGCAACAAGAGACACTGTGTCAAAAAAACGAGGTGGATGGAAACTAAAGAAGGATACCCAAAGTTGACCTCTGATCTCCACATGCACACACATACAGTCACAGGTGTACATGCTCACACTTGCACACACTGGTGTACATACACACACACACACACACACACACACACACCCCTGTGGTGTGTGAGCGGTTGCTGCCCCTGATCATGAGAATCCTTTCGAGGAATACCAATAGTTCACTGTCCTATTAGTCCTCATCTGGGCTATTTCTCAGATGGGTTTGCAGAGGACATCTCAGTGAGCAGCAGTGACTCTCTCAGGAAAGCCCCAGGCTTTCTCACTTCCTATCACAGAAGACCCCAGCCTGGCATGACCTTTAATCCCAGCATGCAGGAGGAAGAGACAGGACCCCTGATGGGGGAAGTGCTCTTGTGTATGTGTTTGTCTTATTGGATGATAAATAAAGTACTGTCTGGCCAATGAGGCAGCAAGTTAGGTGGGACTAGGAGTCAAGGAGGGCTCTGGAAAATGTAGTAGAGATCCAGGCAGGAAGTGACATAGCAGGCAGACTCATATATAAGGAAGGACAAGAAGGAAGTTGTTCCCTTTCCTTTTGCTCTTCCTCCTGGTCTCTGCTCTGGAATCACCATGTGATCTGCCAGCAAGAGATGGCACCAGCAGAAGATAAGTCTTATAAAATATATAGATTTATGATAATTAAGACTGAGTTAGCAGATGAAAAATCCTAGTCATTGGCCAATCAGCATTTGTACCTAATAGAAGTCTCTCTGTGTTACTTGGGACCTTAACGTGGTGGCAGGTGGAGCTTGGACAGCCTGGCAGAAAGGGCCCACGTGGCAGCAGGGTTCGGATGGTTTGGCGGAAAGACTTATTGTTATAGGCCCCCAGTTCATCTGGCTAGGGAGACTAGCTGTATCTGTGAACTCTGGGTTTGATTGAGAGACCCTACCCCAATGGGTAAGGCTGAGAGAGATGAACGATTTCCAGCCTCAAGCTTGGGCCTCCACATGCACACACAGGTGAACACACAGCCCTCTGTGGTGAAGTGTGTTGCTTGCCAACCTCACAGGATCTGGAATTACCTAGGAGACAAGCTTCCAGGCAAGCTTGTGAGGAATTATCTGCATGAGGTTACCTAACCCCTGACTGTGTTGACTGTCAACCTGACACAGTTAAAATCACATGGGAAGACTCACTCTATGAGGAGTTTTCTAGATCAGGTTTGCCTGTGGGGATTATCCTGACTGCAGGAAAGCCCATCCTGCTGTGAGTGGCACCATTCCCCATTCAGAGCTTCCTGCGCTGTCACTTCTGTCACTGTGGCTCCCCAAATGGTGGAGTGTGAAGCAGAGAGTTCCTCCCTTAAGTTGCTTCTGCACCAGTGTTTTATCACCTCCAACTGAGTAATACTGGAGACCAGATCGGTCTACAGCCCTTCGTCCCCTGGGCTCCAACTAGGGATCTGGCTCCAGGCACTCACATGCATGATGTTTGCACTGTCACTAAAAATCTTCACATAAGGCTTCAGGATGTTGAAATGGAAGGCGGGTGTCAGCATGCGACGGTGGCGGCTCCACTTGTCACCAGCACTCATCAAGAGGCCATCTCCTAATAGAGTAGCAAGGCAGTAGGCAAAGACAGCACCTCCCCTAACCCCCAAGGGTGTTCCCACCCCTCACCTGCGGGTACTCACCCAGCCAGGGCTTCAGGAAGCTGTAGAAGACTGTATCCTTGGGAGCAACTGAAGCTGGTTCGAACAAAGACCGTCAGGAGCCATGGCAGGAGGGTGGGCATGGAAGGGATGGAGCCCTCAGCCTGGGATCTGCAAACTCCCCTCCAAGTCCACATGGTAGGGTTGGGGGCAGGGACAGAGGGTGCAGGGGGCGAGGGAGACCAGAAGGGCCAGACATGGAGCAGCACTCGACAGAGAGAGGACTTGGCCTGGCATGCCACACACAATGCAGCACACCTTCACACAGTTGTTCAAACATGCTTCCCCACCGAGCCCAGCATCACATTCCACAGACCTTTATAAAGACCCAATGCTCCGGTCCACTCCAGCATGTGCTGACAGATCCTGACATGGTCATGTGACACAGACACACATAGGCTAACATGACTGAAACACACATGACCTGCCCTAACTGTGACATAGTTGGTCAAACACACCTCAGAACACCCATTGACAGGCCCCAGATGTGATTTGAAAGTCCACTTCTGGGCCAGGCGTGGGGGAGCATGCCTTTAATCCCAGCATTATGGAGAGAGAGAGGCAGGTGAATCTCTACAAGTTCCAGGCCAGCCTGGTCTGCATAGTAAGTTCCAGGCCAGCCAGAGCACACAATGAAAATAAAATAAGATACAGTATTTAGGAAAATATAGCTTTAGAGGAGGACAATTCATTTTGGGAGCAGCAAGATGGCTCAGTAAGTAAAGGAGCTGGCCACCAAGTCTGATGACCTGAGTTCGATTCCTGGGACCTACATAGTAGAAGAAGAGAAATGACTCCCACAAATTGTCTTCTGATCACCACCCTTGCTCTGTAGAACATATACACACATCACACATAAAATAAATGTAAAAAATATTAAAATTAACTTTTCTGATATGACCTAAACAGGCCTCATCATTATTCAGATTTTTCTCAAAAGGTCTCAGTCATATCGATGAAAGCCCCTGGTCCCAGACTTCAGACACTCCAAACAGTATAGACACAGCAGGAGAGCCAGTCAGAAGCCAACATATACCAATTGTTTGTGGCCCCAGAGAAAAACATTGTCATATAATCCCTGGTGGGAATCAGGGGCAGCCAGATAATAGCACACACACCAGAAAGATGGAGGCCACCCGAAGATATGCCCCAGACAAGAGCCGCTCGGCCACAGGTGAGTCACAGGAGGCAGCAGCAGGGGCATTTCTACCACAGCCCTTGCTGACTGCACTGGGGTCACCTGAGACTCTCGGATATGCAAGTTGGGATCAGCATGGTGTCTACCTGGAGCCAAGAGCACAGGCTTGATGAAGGCAGGGTGGAATATGCGGATGACGGGTTGGCACGGCCCCACCCACCAGCAGCACACATCCCTGAAGGTTCGCACCAGGTTCTGGATGTACAGGAGCCCTTCCTCCGAGGCCTGGATCTATAGAAGAAGAGGACCCACCTGGTGTTTGCTTCTCTGGGCTGCCAGAGAGAACAAGTAGGGTAAGGAGCCACGGGGGTTCCATTCAGGACTTCATCCACACTGCTGAGCTCTGCCTGGGTGCCCCCACCCCATCCTCAGTCCCAGGACAGAAGACACGTCCTCACTTCAGATCCTAAACACTGTATTGTATTTTAGCTTGCTGTGTGCTCATGCTTGTGTGTGCATATGATCATGTGTGTGAAGGTCAACCTCAGGTACCATCTAATTTGTTTTAATGGGCAGTCATGTGTTATGGTGTGCACTGTAGAGGTCAGAGGAGAACTTGCAGGAGTTGGTTTTCTCCTTCCATCATGTGGGTCCCGGGAATTGAACTCAGATTGCCAGGCTTGGCAGCAAGTACCTGCCCTTAATGAGCCATCAGTCTCACCAGCCCCAACTTTGTTTTCTTGAGACAGAATCTCTCACTGGCCTGAGGCTCACCAATGAGTCTGGTGAGCCAGCAAGCTCTGGGGACCCAGCTGTGTGCACTTCCCCAGTGCTGCGATCACGCTTGCACACCAAGCACTCCACTGACTGAGCCATCTCCACAGTACCCTGAATATCATATTAACCTATGTTCTCCTCCATCCCATCTTCCACATGGAAACAGTTGCCCTGAAGTGCCTCACAGTTTCCCACAGAGCAAGTGATGCCTCTGAGAACTGAGCCTGGGACTGTGGATCCCCAGAGTCACAGAGACTTAGTGCAGACTTTGCCTTGGGAAGGCTACTTATGGGAACTCCAGGGGGCAGGAGTTGTCCTGTGGAACTGAATTTCTAAGATTCATCAGCAGAGGCATGTCAGTTGTTAATTGACGTAGAAAGATCCAGTCTTGGGGGGGGGGGGGGCAGCATCACTTCATAGCCTGATCCTTGTTCTAGTTTGCTTCTGTTGCTGCTGAGAAAACCCCCTGACTAAAGGCAACTTTGGGAGGAAAGATTTATTTGCCTTATACTTCCAGGTCATAGTTCATCACTGAGGGAAGTCAAGGCAGAAACTGAAGCAGGAATCTAGAGGGAGGAACACTGCTCACTGGCTCACTCTGGCTTGCTCATTGGCCTGTGTCTATCTTTCTGATACTTCTCAGGTCCACCTGTGTAGCCCAGGCTCTCCTGGATCAACTAATAATCAGAAAATACTCTCACAAACACGCATCAGACATGTCCATAGGTCAGTCTGATAGAAGCAGTTCTTAAAGACTCCTTCTTCCGGGCTGGAAAGATGGCTCATCGGTTAAGAGCAATGACTGTTCTTCCAGAGGTCCTGAGTTCAATTCCCAGCAACCACATGGTGGCTCACAACCGCCTTGAATGAGATCTGCATGCAGGCAGAAGACTGTATACATAAAAAAAAAAAAGATTGCTTCTTCCATGGTGCATGCGTGTGTGTGTGTGTGTGTGTGTGTGTGTGTGTGTGTGTGTGTGTGTACATGAGTGCAGTATATGCAGAAGCCAGAAGAGGATGTTAGATCCTGGAACTGAAGTTATAGGAGGTTGTGAGCCCCCCTCTGCAGGTGCTGGGAAATGAATCAGATCCTCTTCTGGAGCAGCTAGTCCTCTTACCCACTGAGCTGTCTCTCCAATGCCTTGACTTCTTTCCAGTGTTCCTCACCTTACAAGTCACAACTTGGTCCCAGCTTTCTAAGTGCTATATTTCTGACCAAACTACTAATTTTTTCTGCATTATTCTGTCCTGCTTTTTGCTCCTAATTCTCAGTATAAACATGCCTAAAAAGCAAACATCAACACCATGCAACAGCCTGAAAAACCTGCTGCTTTGAAATTTGTTCTGTCAAATAAACTAGTTTGCCATTTTTTTTCAAGACAGGGTTTCTCTGTGTAGCTTTGGAGCCTATCCTGGCACTCGCTCTGGAGACCAGGCTGGCCTCGAACTCACAGAGATCCACCTGCCTCTGCTTCCCAAGTGCTGGGATTAAAGGCATGGGCTACCAACGCCTGGCTGCCAATTTTTTTAATGTGGAAAAAGCTGGTTTGCCATTTTGAGGCTGGTTCCCAGCTCCCATGTGGGGCAGCCTGCAATTCCAGTTCCAGGGGATGCAACACCCTTTTCTGGCCTCTCCAAGCACTGCGCGCGCGCGCGCGCGCGCGCGCACACACACACACACACACACACACACACACACACACAAATAAACCTTTAAACTGAGCCTCCCACAAAGTCTCAGAGCAGGAACAAAATGTCTGTAAGTTCTTTGCTAGTGTGTCACACAGAAGGTGTGTGTGTGTGACAGTTTCCCTGGGAAGATGCAACACCCTATTCACCATGACAAACCAAAAGTAACCATTGGACCAATGTATGTCTGATTTGACCAACCAATGAGTTTTAATGGGGTTACTAACAGGATTATGGGAAGGGGTTTACATACAGGGAGCAGGGATGACTCAAAAGCAGCTGCATCACTAGGAACGTACCTCAACACGGGTGTGTTCAATTTGGAAGGAATGTTGCAATTTAGAGGAAAATTCCATAGAACACTACTAGCATAGTGTTCTTTCCCCTGTAAAGACTCATGGGTACAGTCATTATCTCATGGGTACAGTCATTATCTCATGGGCACAGTCATTACCTCATGGGCACAGCCATTACCTCATGGGTACAGCCATTACCTCATGGGCACAGCCATTACCTCATGGGCACAGCCATTCCCTCATGAGCACAGCCATTACCTCATGGGCACAGTATTACTGTCTAAATTCTCATCAGATTCTGGACTCTTGAGTTCCTCCAGAATCACCCATCAATCTCTGTGTTAGTTATTTCCATGAACCTGTGAGCAGAGTCCCTGAAAGAACAGATGAAATGCTCACGGTGTCAGAGCAACCAGTCAATGACTGCTGAGCCCACCCACTTGATGTTTTACCTCAGGACAACAGGAGCCTATGGTAGGGGAGTTCTTCACCTCACACAGACAGGAAGTAAAAAGAGATAAGAAAGCACAGAGGACAACATACCCCCAAGAACCCCTTCCTAATGATCTATGTCTTCCAACTGTACCCTGCCTTCTGAAGTTTCCAGAATCTCCAAACTAGTGTCACCAGATGGGCATTGGGCAGTCACCATGGGCAGGGTTATATGTGTTGTATAACAATTTTCTCAAAATTGAACCATTCCCTCTGAGGCTCGTGAGACTCCAAGGCATGAGGAGTCTGAAAGGTGGAAACACAAGATGTCAAAGCCTTATCCCAGATGAGTGGAAGTTAGTTCAGAGTTCTCCCCAAGTCACCATGATGTCCACCCTGGCTTTGAAATGTGGATTTTTCTCATCCTGGGAGCAGTCCCAGCATCAGAGGAGACTACAACAGGGAACTCACATGGGGAGCTGGCGAGTGGTAGTGTAGTCTCAGGACTTGTTGTGGAGGTCCTGGATTCTCCTTCTCCCTGGGTCCTGGCCCTGTTCCTGCTCCTGACTCCTCTCTTCCCGCCCCACGGTTTCTCCTCAGCACCCACCTGTCACTCCATGCCAGCCCTCTCCTGGGCTTGTGCCTTCTCCTTACGGAATCTTTCCTGGTTTCAGGGCCTCTCTAATCCTCAGGCTCTCTCCCTGCCCCAGGATGGCTCTTGTCCAGGCGACCTTCCCTCCCCTGGGATCCATCTTTGACACATGGTCTCTCATTATTGACAGCTCAAAAGCTGTCAAAGATTGCGTGGCTGTGTTGTGCATGCATCAGGTGACTGCATAAGGACTCTGCATGCAGAAACCATGTGGATCTGGGGCCACACCGAGCTGGACCAATGGCAGCTCCACGACTCCAGTTTCAACGGCCCCAACTTCTGAGCCTTGTTCTAAACCACTCCCTTTCCCTTTATAAGCAAGTGCCTCCCATCTGTTCTTTCTCTCTTTCCATTTCTGCTCCTGATCGGTTAACACCTACCCCTTCCTTCACTCCATTTCCCAATAAACTCCATGTGGGTTTGTTGAGTTTGGTGGTTCGTGTTTCATCATCCAAAGCTGCAGCAAAGACCAGAACTATAGCATATCCCTCCATGGTCTAGGTGGCCCAATTTTGCATGGAACTTTTCCCTATGTTTCCTGGTAGTCATGGCAACAACAGCAGAACACTAGACACTAGAGTAGTAGCCAGGCCAATGGTAATGGTGATGGAGTCATTAGACTCCAGAGGGAGGGTCAGGAGGCCCTCTTCTGGGACTCCAGCTGGGACTGCTCTCCCTCAGCAGCAAGTGATCTTGGGATATGCTAGAGTATACAGCAAAAGGAGGGTTTTTAAATCAGGATTCTGGTGCAGCTTCCATGAAGTTGTCACCTAGGATGGGTGCGTCGTCATAATGATACAGTTGTTTGGGGATCACCCATGAGCCTATAAGTAACCCCTCTCCTGTTCTCTGAAAAAAAAAAACTAATAAACCCATTGTTCTCACGGAGCTGGACACTTGCTACTTGGGTGCCTCTTGGGGTGAATACGCACCTGTTCACATCTACCTTGGAAAAGTTAGCATGGCACCCCTGTAACCTCTGGTTCTTCCTGCAAGGAAGGGCTACATCTGGGGAACTTGTAGCCTTGGCAGACCTCAAAGGAGCAGAGGTGACCCCTAGGTCTCCATCAGGGTGGCAGCTGCTGGCACCAGGCTCCTGCAGGGCAGCCTGTAGTCCAGCTGAACCTCTGCACCCCTGGCACTGTGCCATTTACAAGGAAAGCAAATGTCACCAAATGGCAGAGAGAAAAACAGATTTAAGTCGATGTTCAAGGTGTGTTGTGGATGAGGGTTCTGGGAAGGCGTCTGAAAGGGGAAGTGAGTGGCCAGCTCACATCTAGATTGAGCAACAGGGCTCATTGGTACATCTCAGTGGAGAAGCCAGACATAAGAGGAAGACACTGAAAGGGGGTGGGAAATCAGACCCCAGAGCTCTTCTAGCCCAGCTACGCCCCTGGATATGCCTGGGTGGGATTGCAGCTCATGTCTGTAACCAGAGGGAGGCCAGAGATGGCTGAAAAGATAGGATAGAGGCATTGGACTGGCGCTGATCTCGCCTCAGGAGGCTTCAAGCCCAGCACAGAAAGCCTGAGAACACCAAGGTCCTCAGCCTGTGTTAGGAGCCCTGCAGCATGGAAGACATCTGTGGGGAAGACAGCTGGAGATGGAAGCAGAGAAGATTCCCGGTGCAAAGGGCTCAGGACAGTGCATCTGTGGAATGACATCATTCTGCTGTACTAGACCCCAACCCATCCCTGTCCCCAGATCCTTGAGCCCATTCCAGGCTTCTCACAATTCCTTCTTCCCTGAAACCCCATGTCACCCTCACAGCCACACTCACCAGGCCGAGGTGACCCAAGAGCCAGTTTCGTTTGGGGGGCTGAGGGAAACAGCGAAGGTGATGAGAGTTTTCATACATAGCGTAAGCCTGGGTCAGGATGTAAGCCAGGAGGCAGGAGGCCCCAGCCAGGGGTAGGAACAGCCACAGGGAAGCTGCTGCAGGCCCCAGGCCCAGACAGGACAGGCTCAGCTGTGGCATCCTGCAGGGCAAATGGATACAACCTGAGATCCCAGGCGTGGGAAAGGAACAGGGGTGTCCAGGGACAGTGGGCAGGAGCAGGGAATTAAAGGGTTGGGGATACGGCCTAGGAAGGCAGGGAGACCCAGGGCAGTGCAGGGGAGAGGCCAGGAGGAGGAGAGGAGTGAGATGTAGGAGGAAGAAATGAAGGAAAAGAAGAAGATGGAAGAGAGAGCTTAATCTGAGTCCGAGCCATATACCAGTGGCCAGGGACTCTGCGCGAGAAATCAACACCTGATGCTGACTTCCTGTCCTGACCCAGCATGGGACAACCCCTCCCACCCCAGGCCAGGACCCCTCAGCCCACTGGCCCTAGCCTGGTACCTTCTCTCAGAAGCACTGTGTCCCCAGGTCCTTCTCTGGCTCCTGACCAGGGATGGCTAGAGGAGTCTGGGCTGGGCTGGGCCAGCCCATCCCTCGCAGGCACAGCTGCCCCCTCCTGCCTGGGTAGGTGGCCAGCACACGGGGGTGGAGCCAGCCTGGAGCACAGAAGAACCAATCAGGACCCCATACAGATGAGTACTGGGTCGAAGGGACTTCATCCCTCTTGTGTGAGGGCTTTGGAGGAAGCAGTGGGCAGATAAATGGAGATAGAGCCCCAAAGAGAAGGTGAGAGGAAACAGGCTGGCCACCACTGTGGGGCTTGTGAGCTAGGACTCTGCTCCCTGTAAGAGGGTGAAGAAAATCTTCCCACCGTTCCTCGGGTCCTCATCCTGCCTCCTGTGCCCGGCTAGTCTACACAAACCTTCAGCTTTCTTCAGGTGCACAAGGCCTGTTTCCCTCCACACTCTAAGCAGCCAGGACTAGAGTCCTGAATGTTGTCATTTTATAAAAGTTTAAAAATTAGAAAAGAACCGCGAGGTGGAACCAGCGCGATGGAACGCGAACCGTAGATAATTATTAACGTAGATAATAAATTAACCATAATTTATTAAAGGTGGGGGAGGGAGGAGACGAGAGAGAGAGAGAGAGAGAGAGAGAGAGAGAGAGAGAGA